TCGACAATTATCGAAAGGGATGACATTCTTGCAAAAAAACAACTCATTTTTCAAAAGATTAGTTAAACAACAAAAAAATAGTTAAAGATTTTCACAAAACAATAAAGAGAGCCGTCATGTCATGTAAAATGATCGGTGATATCGACTACAAGAAGAGGACATCTTTGTTAATATTGTGCATCAAATGCTTTCAACAAAACTGACACAAAGTATTGTGTGAATGTATTTTTTGTATATGTTTTATCTTTGCAATCATTAACATTAACATTAACATTAACATTAACCTTGGTCAATTTTTTGTTGGTTTAATGCCTTAACAAATATTTTTTAGGTTTACTTTTAAAGTACGCCAATATATGTATTAGAAAACAAGTCGCCACTACTTTGTTGTGGACTTCAGTTAAGCTCCTTTTGAAGTCAAAAACGACTGTCTTTTTGATGAATTTTACTGACAAAACTTTTACGGCATTTCTAATATTATTAGTTATGCTAATCTTCACGACCGTCACACTCATTGCTGTCAATTGAAGGAGGGGTCAGACCATAGATATTGACCACAAATGTGTCGCAAAAAAGTATTTCTTTTGGTGCCTAATATAAAATAAAGCAAAGATTTTTGTCCCAAAATTGAATAAACAATTTATTGTCATTACATCAGCTGAACAAATAGGAAATGATTGTAAAAAGATGTATAATATACTGTATATACGCCAATAAATTTATTTAATGCATAATCGTGTAATGACATAAATATAAAGTAAAAACTGTGTAAATATTGCTAAATAAGATATATTGAAAAGATTTTCTATAAAACATATAATTGCAAAAACATAACCAAAAATATGTATTAATATGCACTCAAAAAACAGTGTTTATGTATGTTATTTAAACATGTCATTTGATTTTATAGTCTAAACTATTATTTTTAGTATTGTATGACACAATTATTTTAAGACAAATGAAAATTTAAGTTTAGTCATTGTATTTATAAAAAAAAGTTAAACACATATATAGTCATAGATCTATATATCGTAATAAAATCAATATAATATTTCATAATACATAGCTTTTAGTTTGAAAACAAATTAACTCTATGCCTAGTTATTATACATTTATAATATTTTATCAATTTTGTTATCACTTTCATAGCAAATGATATTATATTAATACTGTATATAATACTACTATACAGTATATGTGTATCAAAAATGCTATTTTAACAGATAGTAAACTCATGGATATGTCAAATGACAACTTAAAACAAGGACTGGATTTTGCCTGAAGTCTAGTAAAAAGAGTAAATAAGGGACTAATCAAACATACAATAAGAGATAATATAAAACAAATGACAACTATTTGAGCAAAAACTTTATATACAATATAAAGATATATAAATAAATGAAAGTCCTCTTAATATTAATAGTTTTAATAGTATTCACTTTTTTCATAGAAATGTAAATATTGTGAAGCAATGCTTGATATGAATGAAATGATTTATTATAACAAACATCTTAACAATGCATTAAAGATAAGCAAACATTTTTTATGATAAATACTTGAGTTTTGCCTCTTTTGGTACTTAAATTACATTGTTTTAAGTTATAATAAATAACACAACAAAATATCTTAACTCATGTCATGAAATACTATACCATTAAAAATTATTTTTTAATACTATGACTTGCAGTCACATAAATATTACAAAGTTTTGAACTATCTTTAACTAATGACATAACTAATAACATTTTTATAGCCAAATATTTTTGACTAACAAACAACAATTCAATTTTTTGAAAGTCATAATTGCAATTCATTGTGTATAACAATATGTTTAGAAACTAATCTTTTGTTATTTTCCATAAAAATGAAATTCAAAATAAAATTATTATCATAAAACATAATTTAATAGCAGAGTAATTGACTATTCATAGTATTTAACAAATTTAAATTACTTTTTATCAGTTGGAAACTTTTAAGCAACTTATTCATTGCAAACTACAGTACAGTTTATGATAAAATTAAATTTTACGCAATAGTTTTTCTTATAATATGATATAATAGCTGTATTAGCTTAACTTATGTATAAAAAATAATATCAATTGTATATAAACACTGTAATGATTGAAATATTATAATTATAAACAAGTTCAATTTTATAAAATGCTAGAATTATTAGAATTTATCCTTGCTTAATTTTATTACCTAATATTTTGTTTGAAGTCAAACATTTTTGATAATGCAATTAAATATCATATTAGAAGTAAATCGATGTATTGGTAGAGTTATTGCCCACTTTCTAAACCTTGGTATATGTAAAAATATATTACACATTGGCCTTTAAGATATACTATAATTATATATCAAATAATATTATAATATTTACTATAATTAAGCAATGATTGCTTTTTAAGCTGTCATTTTTTGGTGCAAATCATTACTTATCGATAAAACATATATAAATTCCCGCCGATATCATGCTTTAATATATGAAGATTAAAAAATACTAATTTTAAGTCAATTAAATGTATGACAAAATAACATATCAATACATTGCGAGCATTTATAACGATTTAATATTAAAGAAATATAAGAAATATAAGAAATTCAAAAATAATTAAATGCTTTAAGAAAAAAATTCCGACAAAACTATTAAAATTTAAATATTTTTAAAATTAATTTAATTACAATTTTATTCCACAAATTATTTGCAATATAAACTTAATAATAATAACAATTTATTTTAATTATCTTAATTATTGTAATTACAACAACTGGTATCATCTGAATGTGAAATGTAATTTATGCTGTTATGTAATTTTATTGATGATTATAAGTTAGCATTAATAAGCATATATATATATATATATATATACATATGTATATACATATATGTTTGATTGTAAACATTTTGCTAAATATGTTTTTATTGTTAAATAACAGACACTAATTATAAGCTACTCTAGTCTTATCCAAATAATATAACTAATGTATTCATTAAAGTCACTGAACTTATAAATATTAAACATCAGTCAAAATAAACTATTAATGAGGTACTGTTCATAACTTACAAAACAAATAATATTTTTATTTGTTTTTTTTAAGTCTAAAAGTTTTCTAATATAATTTTATTTGCTAAAAACATTCATACATTTATATAAATTAATTTTTAAATGTGTTATTACAGCATAATAGTTAAAATTTGTTTATAGAAAATAATATGATTTACCTTATTTTAATATAAATAAAATTATATAAATTAATCACTAAATTGAATAAACTAATAAATTAATTTTTTAGAAATAAAGTAATATAATATTATTGACGGTATTAGAGTTAAGTTTCAATGTTTATTAATATTTTATATAAATTACAGTGATTTATTTTTTATTTACAAATGTATTAAATGATAGGATAATGCAAATAGTGATGAAAAATATCAGTGTATATGTAAAAAACAAATGTAAAGCAAATCAACACTTGATATGCACTTTGCATGAGTTTACAGATTAACTTAGAAATAATGGGCTAATAATAACAGTAATGCTGTTATAATAGCGTGATTTAAATGACTGTCAATACGGTTGTACTGTATATTGCAAACAATTGTAGGCGATATATATATACAGTATATATATATACAATATATATATATACAGTATATATATATACAATATATATATATACAATATAATGAGTGAAACATTGAGTTGGTCGAGAAAATACTACCAGAGCTTTTGATTTGGATTTCATTGTAGTAAAACTTTGAACATATCGGTGCCCAACACATCCTGGTTCACATGTGACTATTCCATAGACAACAAAATCAACACAGAGCTCGTGCCCGTATATACTATCACTAATTGTTTATATACTATAAGAGAGAGAGAGAGAGAGAGAGAGAGAGAGAGAGAATGAGGAACGGATAGACAGGTGACAAACCTAAACCTAAATACAGAAAAAGAAAAGCAGATTTAAGAAAATGAGTGTATAGTGTATAATACTATATGTGCTGCCAGTGCTGGTGATACCGGTGCCCCAGTGCTCAATAGAGAGCTACCAGTGATTCTCTATTGTTATACTTGCAGTTATAATGTGATCACAAATGCTATTCCGGTCTCTCACTGGTTGTGAACACAAAACACACCAAAAGAAAGTATACATCTGTTCCCAAAACACACACCATTTGTATAGTCAAAGACACCAGAGATTTGGCGCTCAATTTCTTTTCACTCCTTTCTCTACTCACACGACACCAACTGTTGAGTCCACTTGAGCTCAATTACCTGAGAGACTGGACCTGTGGTTTGACAATAAAATTATTGGTAAAGTATTGCAACAGGAAATGCAATTAAATTTTAGTCAAATTTTTAAATGAAATGAACCAAGACAATTTTATTTTTTCCATTTACAATCCAATATATATATAATATAATATATTTATGTATATATAATAATAATTTATTTCCATTTCGTTTACAATTATAATAATTTTGTAATCATCTAATAATTTACACAATTTTAATCTTGAATATTATAAAATTGATATACAATTTATCACGAGTGTAGTAGCCATGTCACTTTTATTTTATTTTTTTGTTGTTGTAATAAATGTAAATTTAATAAAATAATAATAAATATAAAATTTTCAAATAAAGCGTGAAAGACGTGAACAAAAGCCAAACTCCTAATAATAATAATAATAATAATTATAATAATTTTATCGTTATTGAAGAGATCGAAATGTTATGACTAGTCGTAAAAAATAACAAAACTATTAATAATAAGCGTTACAAATATTATCAGCCATACAAACACCCCATATATTAGTAATATTAATGTTTTAATAATTTCAGTCATTAATTAATTATATTAAACTACTTTAAAATTAATAAAAAATAAAGACATGATTTGATTAACTTTCTCCTCTTTAAATAATCATATAAGATATGATAATATATAAAATATATAATAAAATATGTGTTTTGTTTTTATAAATAATATCTAAATTATGTATCATATATCAAATGAGAGCAAAATATAAAATATGTATATAATATAGTAATTAATTTAGTCAATGATTTCTTTGGTTAGTATACATAAAGAGATAAATTTAAATCAAAGAAAATTTCAACTTTGTTTTATGTATTAAACTTTATATCTATTGTTATGTTAAATGGATTTGAATGTATTTTTCTGTAACACTTGTTATATATGTATGTATGATGTGTGGGATCAGTAGGTATTGTTATTTAAAAGCAATTAACATGTCTTATACTATGTGTATGTGTCAGTGTTGTTGTGTGTGTTTATGATTATTAGACCGAAGTTCCTGTAGTACTGCCGGTGCTCTGAATGTTTGCTCTCCTCCACCAACAGTGTCATCAACTAAGCACTTGGAGTCACACGAGAGTCACTATGGAGTGGAGTCACTCTCACTACCACTTGGTTTGTCCGCATGAGAAGTGAGAGCAGTTGTGGTGCACTCCGGACGATGTCTTTTGAAGTCTTGTGTTTCAATATCGCTCTCTTTGTGAGACATGACTTGTGCTGAACTCCGTTTCCTTTGAGACTTCCGGTCGACGAAGTAGTCTTTGAGAAATAGACACACAAAACAGTTATTACATTGTAATACATATTACTTATTGAGACCATATAATCATCTATAAACTACTGTATAATATATATGTATATACAGTACATAAGTGATAACATATCATATATTTCGCTAATGTCTTGTCAAACATCGCTTTATATTCATATGAATGTCAATTATTACTAATGTTTTGCCAAATATATCTAATATTAATAATCTATTACATTGTATGCATATAGCAGTTCATTATCTTTTTGGTATATTTTTGTAAATATATATACAGATGGTGTAGATCTGAGATATTTTTTGTTTTGTTTTAATGTATGATTTAGATGGAGAAGAGAGAGAGAGAGAGAGAGAGAGAGAGAGAGAGCTGAGACCTGTTTCTAACATAAGACATAAGGAGTCCTTCATTTTAGGTGTGATTAGACTTCAAGGTTATCCACTCCGAGAGTGTGAGTGTGAGACTGTCAGAAATGACCAAACCTTCAGATTATTACAGAAAAAGTTAGAAAAGTGTAGGCAATGATAGTCATACTTATATTGAGGCAAATGTTTTTCAACACAACTGCATGTGCTGTACAACAAACAGTCCAACAACTGTCCAAATTTGGAGATAGACTGCAATACAATACATACGAATAGGCAATCTTTTTGAAGCAAAAGTTAAACTTTTGTTGAAATATGCCTCTAGTGTTATGTGCAATGCCTGTCCACGAAAGAGCCCAAAATTAAACCCAATATCTCAGTGCTAGTCAAGTGAGTCAGTGTATGGCTGAGCTCTTACTTGAATATAGCTTAAGGAGACATATATTGCCTCACAATTAATTCAAACTCCTTATCAGTTGCCATACAATAAATTAAAAATCTTTTGATTAACAGAACTGAATATTGTTGCATATATTACATAATAATAAAATATAACACAATAAACAAATTAAGATTACTTTGAATATCAATGATTATTCATTATATTGTTATTTCAAGCTATTATTTGTCTTATGATTAATGACTCACAAAACAATCAAATCCCTGAGATTTTATATAAATAATCCATCAATTTATGTCAATCAAATCAAATCAAATCCTTAATCAATTTAATATTAGCTTTATATTAATAGATATTATTTTCATTATTAAAGTCATAAAAAAGTTGAAGTTAAACATATGATGAAATAAATATTTAAATTGTTCAACAATATACAGTATATTAAAACATTAACGTAGATCAAATTAAAAATGCTTATAAATTAATAACACATCAATGTAATTCATTGTAAATATAACAACAAATATATAATTTAAATTTATATAAAAAGTAATGAGTCATATATTTCCTAAATGTATTAAATTTGTAAACTTGATTGTCAAACAAATATAAATGTAGCAATAAATCATTTAAGCTATTTTTATATTACATTTTATATAAATATATAATAAATTATGGAAAGCTCATAAAACAATAACCTATATAAATTTATATATTACTTAGATTTACTACAGTTATAGTTTGATTATACGGTATGTACTGTATATTGTATGCTAAATGATGTTTTCTTTTAAGTATGCGATAATAAATGACATAAATTTAATGTTTAAAAGGAAAATACTGTATTTTTAAAATATATGTTTGATTTAACTATAGTAAAATTATTAAATATACAGTATATTATGGTATATTTAAGTTATATATTTGATAAAATACTATAAATATATTTAGTTAAAAATATATTAAATTAATATCGAAACAAAATCTCTTTTTTAATATCTAAATGTTTTTTAATTTAATTTACATCTAATATAATTGCTTTTATATATAAGATTTTAACCCTATCTATCTCTCAGTTATATTTTATTAATTATGATTCATCTCTTAAAAACTTCACGAAAATATATATAAAAAATATGTGATGAAAATAAATTACTAAAATAAAAAAGCATCTAGGTAGTTTGTTTGTTTTTATAAATACATGATGTTATTGATGCTATAATATTATTATTATTAAATAATATCTAAATAAATTTAATTTTATAAATTATATTATATATATATATACTGTATATATATATATAATGCAATTACTAAAGTTTGCTAACAACATATGTATTTAAAATGTATTTTTTTGGTGTATATAAAAATGTGGGTAAATATAAATATTTGACATAAATTTCAAGCCCAGCGAACAGTCAACTAAATGATAGTTATTAATGAAATGTTAATTTTGGTGATAAAAACGATACACTGTTTTGTCTGAAATGTCTCTCCATATTTGTGGCAAAGATTTTGAAACACAGAGACAGAAATAAATTGATAGGGAGTGAGAGTGAGGCCAACAATTGACAGCAAATTTATTTAAAACACAAAATTGCAGTGAAGGACAATAATTTATAATAAATTATATCTTTAAATATGAATTATATCAATAAAAACATCACTGAAATTAAAGCAAACGAGGAGAGGGAGAGTGGGATAAGGGAGGGAAAGATAGTCATAATTAACGACTTATTAAGAAATGGCAGTTCAAAGTATTGCAATCAAATGTAATGTATTTTTCATAACTAGATATAAGTGGCAATACATTGAATATATTTAATACTTAACAATAGGATTCGTTACTTATTAACTAAAAAACTAATTTAATGTTTGTATAAATACCTGTGATTTGTGTTTGTTTCAACTGATTGACTATTTTAGGCGTAAGACCAGCTCCGGTAGGTTTTTCATTAGATGATGAACTCGGCTTTGGCTGAGAATCAGATGCAATCATAGCAGATGTCGAGTCAACGGTGGTATCTGTGCTGACACTGCTATGTATGGTTGCACTGGTCTCAGGTCGTGGCACAGGCTCTGGTGCAGGCGTTGGTGTTGGTATTGGACTGATAGCTGACTGATGTGACTCAATGGTAGACGACTGGTCATTATTTTTGCATATATTTGTACTAAATTTTTTAAGTTTTGTATCAAAAGTGTTGTCTGATTGAAGATTTAAATTATTGTTAATATGAGACCATTGATAACGAGACTCAGGGCTATTGATGGGCTGTTCACTACTAAAGTCAAAGTTATATCTGTTGCGGTCCTCGTCCTCACACTGTCTGAGCTGTTGTTGGAGATCCCGGTGTGTTTGTTGGTGATCGATATCACCAAACAGTCTTCGACGAACTGATTGCACTCTTTCATTAGATGGCTGGGCATTGGTATCCCTCGGAGGCGGACCATTGCCACCGATATCACGGAAAGCCATTGCAGATACGGTACGATACGGTGGTATCATAAGTGTGCAACGGGTCATCTTCTCTACTATCGATGCAACTCGTAGACAGACGTTAGGAAAAGGCAGCACTGGTCAGGGATGTCAGGGATGTGCCGCATATACTCTAGAGTCGACACTATTTCTTATAAAACTTTTTTGATTAAAGCAATCAATTGAACGAACATATAATAGAGTGAATATTGTCTACAATATGAATGTAATACACGATTCACTCAATTATAGTTGTCTTCAAATACTGAGACTATATTGAGAGCACTTTTATATAATACGGTATACGAGACAACCACTCCCAGTGCTCACGAGACTACAACTAAACTCATAGACAGCACTCCTCTACTCTATATATACGTTAACAACACTTCAACCCAACTCTTAACTGGCCTTAGCTTTCAATAGCACTGGTAGTGACTGCGAGCCCACGGAGTGGACGCATGCGGACTGAGAAGTAGGGATGAGGAGTGAGACATACAGTAGAAGCGATCGGACGGTATTACTGACAAACACCGAGAGAGCAACCGATTCACCCAATGCTGTGAATATGCATTTTAAAGAGTGGGAGACATATACTACTCTACGGTGAGGGGAGAGAGGGGCGCACCACTACCAGACCCGCACAACAAACTAGTTTTATGTTATATTAAGTACAGTATAGCTCATAGTATTAGGATAAGGCATACAATGATAGAAAGGGATCGTCAGATAAAGAGACCAGAGAGAGACCAGGTGTGCACTGTTGGCGACCCGAACCTCTATAATACTCGACTGACAGGTAAACCAAAGGTAAAGGCAATGCACTAAACACTGCACTTGTATGCCATATATACAGTATATGTATATACTGTATATGTGACCCATACATAATAAGGCTATCCTTAAGTCTAACAAAACATTTTATATGAGAAATACTTATCCTTAGACGAGACGACCCAACACTAACACACACTTTGGACTTAGTTGTGGTACTAATGTATACCCCATAGCCTTTGGCTGCCCTTTTGTCTCCCACTCCCCACTCGTGCCATACTATTAAAGCTTATTAATAAAATTAATCGTGACTTACCAGTGCATCAATCGATAGGACCATCACGAGTCATATTATATAAGTTTATTAATATGTGTTTTGAATGAGAAGAGATAGAGAGATAGATAGATAGATAGATAGATAGAGAGAGAGAGAGAGAGAGAGAGAGAGAGAGAGAGAGAGAGAGAGAGAGAGAGAGAGAGAGAGAGAGAGGATAATTATTGTTAATAACAATTGATATGTTGAGGATCGGGACATCCTATTTTAATGTCACGCATTTCTCTTATTATTTACTTATTAATACATAAATACCTTAATATCAGACGTTTTGTTTCAATCGGTTGGCGTCCCTCACAGTCCCTTCAATTGCAGTGATTTGTAGACAAACTCTGTAACGATTGTTATATAATTTTTATTATACGTTTAGCATCTCAAGGCATACTCTATACTAATACTGTAGTAATAAACTTATGTAAATAAAGTGATGCCATTTGAATATCAATAGGTTTTCATTCATACAATCATTGTAATTACATTAGTTTTAATATATAATATTAGATATAAATATAAAACAAAGTCATTAAGATTTAATTAAAAATAATAATAATATCATTTAATAATACATACATATATACTGTAAATATAATTATTTTTTGTATAGTAATTGTCTTTTATTTAAAAATAGTAATTATATTAAACTTACAAAAAAACTTTATTAAATCAATTCGTTGAGATTCTTATATTATTATACAAATAATAGTAAACTTATGCCCAAACAAAAAATAATTTAACATTAATAAATAAAATGAAAAATTTGAACTTAAATGATGTTTAAATATTTATAATAAAAACATGTATAATAAAAAGTAAAAATATTAGATAAAATATTTGCATTTAATTGACTACATATCAGATATTTGTGTATAAAATGCAAATCATATAAATTTATACAAAAAAATAATTTTGAAACAAAACACAACACATACACACATTCAACATTGCAATGAATTGAATGCAAAACAATATTAAAAGTTGTTTTTAGTCGAGAATTGGTTTGAATGCACAACAGTTTTTTAGTATTAATAATAGTGAAAATTTTGATAAATATATATATATATAAAAAATTCAAAAATATATAATTATGTGCATTGATTGGATGCAAGTGTTGTCATGTTATGTGATGTGCACTTGTTATTAAATTGGGTTATATTATATAATACTATATATGGTATATAATTCATATACATATAAATAAATATATATATATAGTGTATGTGTATGTCTGGTATCTCTTGACAAAACCGTTGCTGAACCCGATCCTCAAGAGATCATTAACGGTCTTCACATTATTTGCAATACGTTTTTCAAATTTGTTTCAATCTATTCACTGATACGTCGAAAGCGATTCAAATGTGTATATTAAATGAGAGTTTACATAACGATTCACAGATATACTATATAGTACTGTATATACAGTATTATAGTTATATAATACTCAATGTTTTGCACAATATGTGTATATTATGTACGTGTGTTTGATAAGAGGCGTAAGTCATTGCAGTGCAAATTGCCGCTGTTTTCTGCTATATTGCAATACATAACTTTTTACTGTATTTTTGTAACTTTTGTTTGTTAATAATTTTGTGTTGAATATATTTTACATACGTATGCTTTATTTTTTATATAATAAGTATTACATTGTAAAAATCAACAGCAGCTATATATAATCATATACAGTATTTTATGTATTATACAATATATACTGTATATATAGTATTCATAGCAAACTTGTATTACAAACAACACGATAAAAACAATTTATAAGTTAAACACTTGAAAATTTTTATATACTGTATTATTTTCTGGTAGTTACTATTATTTATTATTTCAATGCAACTAATGGTACCAAATGCTTGTGTCAATTATCATCTGATTGGAGACCATTTAACAGGAAATGGCAAACATTGAGATTCTTGAAACACAAACTCAAACACATAAATGTTGGGAACAAACAGCTCAAGAATTACAGCAATTCTTGACTACATTTATGATAAGTGTTTCCTGTGTTATAGTTATTGAACAACTGTATGATAACTGAACATTAATAAGGGTTTGATATTATACAGTAATTACCAAATAATAGCCTAAACAATACTCACTGATTAACTCGTATTCATTTATCAAAGCATTTTCTTATATTTAGACAATAATTGTGTATTTAACTTATGTTTGGTTAACTTATTTAACAGTATTATAAAGTACAGTACAACTAACAAAACCTTAAAGTAGAGAAAAAGTGTGACAAAAATAGCCAAACATTTTTTAATGGTTTCTAATATTCTCATTTAAAAACAATAGCATTTGTTAACAAAAAGTATTTAATTCATTCATGCAATATAATGGTTATTATAGTAAAAATGAAAGATTGAATTGAAAAATGCGGGTAAATTCAAGAGACATATGTCTAATGGTATGGATCCGAGTGTATGATTAAGATGTGAGTACTTTATGAGGTAGTCTATGAAACATATGTTTGTTAGGATTATAACAAATAATTTATGTATTTGACCGGCATTTTAACAATATTTTGTTTGATTGCCCAAAACAGTCTAATGTTATGATGTGTCATAACTTTTATTGAGGGCTTAACCATTAAAATATAGCACTCCATATATCTCTCTTTATGTTTCATTAGTTGAGCACATAGATCCCAGTGATGATAGATTATTGATCAACAGTTGGACACATGTACTGTATTATAACATATACATTATTTTGAGTATATCCAGTATAGTTATTTTATATGCCGGAGCATTAGTCAGTCCACTCTACGCGTGCCAAATGGTGTATTATTTTTCAGAGCCACACAAACAACCAATAGTCTCCAATTTAGCTGATTGTGCTTAACTACTAGTGCTCACTGCAAATGCCATTCTCTATACCATAGCTGAGAACACTTCAGGTGTGAGAATAAGAAACAATTGATTCTCGAAAACAACATTTTTTAAGTCAAGCATATACTATGACTTCCTTTCTCTCCATACATATAACTACACCAATATATACTGTATATACAAATATATACTGTATATAAGTATACATATGTAGTACTGTATATACCTTTCCGGTGTTTAAATAATAAATACATCTTTTTTGTCATTATATGAGTTACTATTGTTTACAAGTAAAACAACTTTTCGTATTGTTATTTAAGGTTTGGCTCCAAAAGGTTTGCAAAAATGATGAAAAATAATTTAACTTTTTTTTATAAGACCTTGAAAAGTAACGACTTTTTTAAATATAATAATTTTATTTAATAAAATTTAATAGGAATTCAATCAGAGAATGTGTTTTACATAAAACAGAACTTTTCTAAATAAAAAATAGTCTTCAAAATGAGATTTCATTGTTTTATTTTTCAAATGTCCAAACTTTTTAGTTTACTATCTCTTTGTGCTTCAGGCATAGTCTCATAGTTATGGCATGAGTTCACATAAAACACATTATATTGTATGTAATACCTGTAACATAATCATTGGTAGTAATCATAAGAGATAATATTAATGAAAACCTCCCCTTTATTTCTAACCTAATAATTGTATTGTTCTTTGTCTTCAAAAATATATTATTTAGTAAAATATTTGAAATTATATAATTTTTTAAAATGTAATAATACATATAAATAATATACAAATATTGATGATTTGTTATTTTAACTATATTTTTGTTATAAAATACCTAATTTTATATAATATTATTTGACTGGTCTTTGTTTTCATGTATTTGACTCTTTTAGATACAGAAAGAAAGAAAGAAAGAAAGAAAGAAAGARAGAGAGAGAGAGAGAGAGAGAGAGAGAGAGAGAGAGAGAGAGAGAGAGAGAGAGTTGTGGTTTGCGGATACAGAGATTGTAATTTCAGTGGTTTATTGTTTAAGACATCTAATTAATATACAGTATTACAGTAGTGTTGTATACACTATAATGATGTTTAAAAGTGGAACCACATGTTTTGATTGAACACATGTATGTTATAATGTATGTCAATAGACTGTATCTTATATACTGTTTATAATAGTTGGTTGTGTTTCAAGTATTTGATCCGTTTATTATAAAATATAATAGTATTGTATAAATATATAAATTAACTTAAAACAAAAAATAAATTTAAAATAACTTATAAATTTGTCAATAAAATTATTATTTGAAATTAATCAATCTATATATTTAAAGTAAATTAGATCAACAAATATTAAATCCTATATTAAAGAATATTCTGCTTTTAGTCGATACCATACAACTGTCCACTCGAGCACATCATTGCTTTTTTGAAGATTGTTATCAAACACCTGCTTTTTCCCGTAAATAAAATCTCCGTAAATCTCATTTGTGTGTCCGCACACCCGCTCAACACCCGTTCCACAATATATATATGAATTAAGGTTTATAGGTTTTGGTCAATGGATTTAATATCGTCCACTCAATTGACTCTTTGTTTAGGCAATAATACAATTTATCGGATTTATCATTTCATTGATGTCTCATATCAGCTGACCATAAGTTGATTCACCAGTTTTTAAGTGTGCTGTGAATCAGTTCAATATCACAAATCATATACCATACTAACTAAAACAGTAAAGTGGGAGTCATAAAGGACATACAGTTATAGATAGGACTGTTGTGTCGCCGATTGACTGCCAGACCGATAATTCGCACGTTTTTCAACACTAGTATTGCCTACAAAGCGTTTGGATGTTTGAGTCAACTGTTTTGGGCATTACTTATAATCTAATCAAAGATCGCATCACATCTGTGAAAGTATAGAGTGATGTGAATGAGACAAACACTGAATCAATGACCGGATGGCCACTTAAAGTAATGGTGCGACCATTCATTGCATTAATATTGGCCTCAAAATATACAATACTGTATATATATATAACCCATAACTAGTGAGTTGTGTCGACACGAAATACATTGATACCGAGTTTATATTATTTGATTGTAATGCAAGCGTGAAATGCTTAAACACATTATGGGAAATAATATATTATGGATGCACTCAATATGTTATGAATCAGTGATGTGTTGGCGTTTGGTCCGCAAAATATATAACTAATGGCAGTGGACTATAGTTTTTAAAATTATTTGATGAGATGTGAGCTCAAAACAACAGGCCTTCATTTAGTTTGTATTGTATGGACAGTACAGTATATAACAGCATATATACAGATGTGTTGCAATTTATAGCCATCTGCTAACCGCCTCAACAAACAATACTATTAATTTAAAGTTAATTAAAATACAGACCACTATTCATCCCAATTCTTTACTCTTGTATGATTAGTAGTTCACCATTTTTAGGTGAACCCCAAAAACACACAAACTATGCACACATTTAATTGAAATCTCAGTTTTATTAGATATAGAGAGATAGTAATAGTAAAGTAAAACACATGCACATCATGAGTGGGATCAACACCGGGCCTATGGGTGCCCAATTGGCATCATATTTGTGCCAACTCTAACTCTAAGTTAACATTTGTTTGTATACTTATGTCATAAACTCCAGGTTTACTTCACATTGAAAAAGGCATAAAACAAAAGTAAAAGTTAATTACTTTAGGAAATATGAGAAGACTTTTGAAAATAAGAAAAGTCAAGTCAAGGCCTTTAAAGTCGACAAAAATTGTTTCACTCATATTATATACAGTATTGTAAATGCCAGTCATTATCCGACAAATATTTTCAAATATTAAACATCAAATTTTTTATATTATTGATAAGAGTTAAAAGAAAATAGAATATAATCAATAAAACCAATATTATATTAAAATCAAATTTTTCAGTTTTTAAATAGTATTTGATTTAAAAAAAGAAGAAAATAATAGAGGATTCAAGTGTTAGAAAAATACATACATTGTGTTAAATCGGTACAAATATTTCTTTAACTATAATTTGTGATCAAAAAAAATTTGGTATCTTTTATGTCGTCCGCCACTCCAGACTTGTTAAGTTATACAACAAATGTTGAATGAGTTTAATGGCACTAAAAATTATTATTTAGTGAACCACTCTTTAAACACCAATTTTTATTTAAATTTAAGAGACAATTGACTGCATTTCAATAAGTTAACACTTTTTTAAAAATAAAATAATTGTGAAAAAAATCACGCAATACATAAAAGCCATTTTATATATTCAATAGATAATAAAAAAAGGAGTGACTAATGATTTAGTGATTGTGTGAATAAATGGTGTTAATTATAGTTTGACTAATGAAAAAAAAACAGTTGACTTTGCATTTATTGTCACACAATTTCATATTAATTTTATTATTGATGATTTAAATGATAATTTATCTTTTTATATAAATAAATATTTTTGAATATAAAGTTCTTTAACGACTAAAATATGAAATAACAATAGTTATTGAAAAATGTTATTGAAGTTATTGAAGGAGTTATTTAAATGTTAAATCAATTTGAAATGATGTCTTAAAAGACATTTATAGAAAATTTATGATTGATATCACTATTTGAATGTTATTTTTAAATGATGTCAACGCTCGTAGACAATGGTTGGCAATGGAAATGGATGTTAAATGTTGTATAAAAATTTTCATTTCAATGTCATATTTAATAGCGAATTGAAGTTAAAATGATTATTTTTTTGTTGATCATAAACTAAACACAAAAAAGTTATATCAAATGTTTTAGAAATGATGGGTCTAATAAAAACTTCTTTATGTGTTTTTTTTAAATATAATTATAATAATATATCAAATATATGTATAGCCTATGTGCTGATATAAAAAACCGTTAGTTGTAGGGTTAAAATTATATAGCGTTAATTAACTATAAAATTTAGTACTTTATGTTTATGTTTGTATAATAAATTGATATGCAATCAAATCAACACATATAATATAAACGTACGTCAGAAGTGTGTCTCATATTTACTATTATTTTTAATATGACTTTTTTGAATTTACTGTTTATTTACTTCAAACAATTAATTGTGTATATATTAAGTGCCACAAAAAACCGTTAGTTATACAATAAAGCTACAGGTGTTTGCAAAGGTGAAAGAGATTTTTATTAATTATTATTTATATTGATATTAAATAATTTTCTAAAAGTGAAAATCTCTCAATAATAATAATAAAGATTACAATATTATTATAACAATCCATTGAAGTGTTTAACTGTTTTAGGAGTAATATTAATATAAGTTATATTATATAACGTTTACATTTATTTACTATTACTAATACAGTGTAACCATTAATGTAATTAATATCTCGCTGTTGAGCGCAAAAACTAAACCTATAATAAACATACAGTAATATTAAATGTATAACACATAACCCTTGTATTCAACAGTAATTATAATCACTATTACAGATATTTAAGTTTTATTATTAGCATTAAATGAATATACAGTATAAATATATTATTAAATTAATATCATAATGCAGTTGAGCTCTACTTATCAATTGTTATTTAAATATTTTATTTACTTTTAAGCTAAAATAACATTATTGTTTAACATTTTCTAAACTATGATATTTCCCAGTTAGACATTAAACACTGGTTACTAACTTTATATTAATAATATTGCTTTGGTTACCAAATTAAGTGTTGACACAAAATGTTTTTTATATTAAAAAGAATGCATTTTATAAATATAGGTGTTTAGAGTAAATATTTTTCAATAAAAATTACTTTTAACTACTATTACCCGTTAGCACTATATTACAGAATAACTATGCAATTATAGTACAGTATTTGCATATAAGGTTAACACTTATTATTATTATCGATAGCTTTTACTTTTAATTGCCAACGCCTACACATATTTTATATAAATAGTAATACAAAAGGATATAGTAATTAATTTTCATAGATAAGTAAATTTCTAATAAAATGTTTTTTTTCATATAATTTATACAGTTGTCAGATTTTTTAATGTAGTTATAAAAATTATATCAAATCTAATATGAATTGTTATTATATTATATTAGTTTTAAAATATTTGCATTAATTTTGAATTTATTATTATATATTGACACAAAATTATACAGCATTATTTTGACTTTAAAATATGGTACTTATAATAAATATTAACCATAAATCAAAACATCAAAAATATTTAAATAACTAATGATTTTTAAAAATATTAATTATTTATAGTGTTATTATTTTATGTTTAAACATTTAACTTAAAGTATTTAATATATAAAAATTTTAATAAATAATGTAAAACTAGGTTTAAGTAAATACTGTCATAATAACACAAAAAATTATCTGAAATGTTTGAATTTTTAAAATTATGATCTATAATATTCAATCTCTGTATTTATTGAAAAATTCATATTTATTAGAAATTTATTTAATCAGTTAATTTTTTCTTTATTAGACAGTATATCATAAAATGATTTTAATTTTGAGTCAGACATTGCATTAAATGACAAAATTATTCAAAAATTTTGAATTAATTATCGGTTTATAAACTCGTTATTCTGGGCTCGACTTTAGAGATAAAAGATTCATTAAAAATAAAATTAAAAACTATCTTTTGATAAATTTGAATATATTTTTTTGTTTCTTAAATAACATTTATGTGCGCAAAGTATTGGGCGGAGAGCAGACAATCTTATCACTTGAGAAGCCCTTTAGGAATGGGTTTCGCTTTTCTATCAAAAACTTATAAATTAAATCAGTTTTGCTTTTCATTGCTTATGATAGGTCTTCGTTAATATTTATACTTTTGTTTTTCAGTAAGGATTCAATGGTTTTTTTCAAGACAACTGTTAGCTCAGTATTGCTCATGAAAAAGGTGTGTATTTTAAAATGCTATGAATTATATGTTTTTCATTAAACAATTGCCCGAAAAGTGGACGCAGAGTATAAACTTAAAAAGTTCGTGCCTTTGAATTATAATTACAATTATTATTCACATATTGTTAACAATAATATGAATCTCATCTATAAACAGATGTAGTGTTTATTTTGAGACCAATTTATTACATTACAGCTGCCAATGAATTTATTCAATTTTTTATGGTTTCATTTACAGTATTTAATTAATAGATCCATTTTTGTGACAATATCTTTATGAATATGTATAGAATTTTTATATATATAGGAATACGATATACAATAATTGGTCAATAAAAACATTTTCTCATATCTATCGTAACATGAATGCAGTAAATAAAGGCAATGTAGGGTTGTGTGAGAAAAATAAATATTCAATAAATTGTAAAAATGCACAGCAATTGAAACCAATTACTTAGTTATATTGATTTGCAAAAGTATATTGAATCTCATTGTATAGTGATTTATAAATATATATATTATTTGTAATTTTCAAATATAATTTGTGTCAGTGTTAATATTTATTGGCCATTCAATATATCCACAAAAATAAAAAAGTATACAATAAATAAAATAAATGAATGAAACAGAAAGTGTCTATAAATAGTGCAATAAATGTGTTTCAATTGACTATTTCTAAAAACAGGTGAGAATTTTTTGTAAAAATAATTTTTTATGTAATAATACAAACATTTTACACAACAAATGTGAATAAGTTTTATTTTTGAAGTAATCATTACAGACACAGTCGGTCCACAATAGGAAACCAACATTTTTTAAAGCTATTTATGTGTTATTTCCTTCAGTCAAACTCCATGTGCTTTACAGTCACTGAGACTAAAAATTGCTCAAAAAAGGAGATACTCTAAGAGGTTGTAAAATAAGATAAAATTGAAATTCCTTTAAATTTTCAGTTAAAATAGCAATAATTTTAAGGTTTTTCAATGATTTGTTGGTCAGACAAACATAAATTTATTGATCTTTTATGTTACGGATATCTACAGTATTGCATATAATTTTAATACAAGTGTTTAGTAAACAATTTTCTTATAAAGTCAAATGTGAAATTAAACTAAATACCAATAAACTATTGTCTCAAATAATTATTATTTATAGTAACAATAATGTAATTTATATATACAATGAAACTCAAGTACAGTAAATGATTGGGGAGTGGGAGCTATTGTGGGTCAGAGAATGTTTGTATTTGAGAGCCACAAGTGCCACAGCTTTGGGTGGTCTGCCGTACAAACGGTAGTATTCCCGCTGTCTTTAAGGCGCTTTCATGTCATAACGTTTAGTATTTGCTTGAATGGAGATAAAGTTGAGATGAAATGTCATATTATGATAGACTTTGATTTATATTTGTATGTCATTTAGAGAGTAAAGAGATAGAGAAAATGTGAGATAAGACTTTGCAATATACAGTATTTACTGTAGTTTTTATTTTATAGATTCATAATTTCAATGTCTTAACTGCTATAATAACCACTTGACTCACACAACTCTTTTCCATTAAATATTTGAAAATATTTTTATCTCCATATATTAATATTGTATACTTATAGAAGTAAATCATGAGTTTAATAATTTTAAAGTAACTGATAATTAGGAAACAATTTTATTTAATTATTTAGTTTTTATAATACATTATTTTATATAATAAAAAATTTATATATAATGTATTAAATCTATAAAGTGATCAAATGTCACGTTTCGAAAATCCATTAAAAACATAGTACGCGAAAAAATTTATAGCAAATTTAGTTTAATATAAATAATATATAATTTTATATATGATATATTTATATATAGTAATATTACATATAAAAAAGTTACTTAATGTTGTATTTAAATAAACAATTATTACTCCAATAGATTCAATTATAGTCTCTTAACTATATTTTTAACTAGATTTATATTTTTTAGTTTAATGTAATTAAATGAATTATTTTTTTACTTTGAATATTAATTCAAATACTAATAATAAAATTTAGTTAATATTTATAATTATAATGAATTGTTTCAAAATAACAAATATCGAGACAACAAAATTAATATGGGATCCCATTGTCAGAAATTTCTTTTAGAAACTTTCCATAAATTTCTCTTTTTTTGCAAACTCTACTTATTTAAGTCATTCAAACAAATGATGTTTATATTAATTAAATATAAGTAAAATTCTGGTCAAAAATCTTGAAATAGTCGGCAAAAATTGTTAAGATAGTATGGAAACTATAATTATTATCTTTTGCAATACAACAACAATGGGATACAATTTGATGTTT